GGTGGGTATTTGTGTGGCTGTGATGGTTGGGTGTTTTGTTTGGCTGTGATTGGTGGGTGAGTGTGTGGCTGTGTTGGGTGGTTGAGTGTGTGGCTGTTGATGGTTGGGTGGCTTTGTGGCTGTGATGGGTGGGTGAGTGTGTGGCTGTGATTGGTGGTGAGGGGCTCTGTGTGCTACGGTTGGATTGGCTTCTCAGACTGACAGATGTCGTATGCGTTTGCAGAGTAATGTGTTGGTGTGTTTATTCAGGTGGCGATAGATGGCATCTGTGTATTTGAACTGTGCCTTGTCCTTTTTCTTTTCCTTTTTCTTTTTCATTTTTTTTTCGGCTGACTTTAGTTCTCGTCCACATCAAGTCCGCACCTGTCCCTGATTGTTTTGGACCGGGCTTGCCCCTGCCCAATTGGTCTGCACGTATCCCATGGTGCTTCGTCCTTGACATTGCCTGTTTCTCTGATGCGTCGGTTGTTCACCTGACTTTGTTTGTGCTTTTCACTTCGACAGTACGCGCAACGTCGAATGGGTCAGATGACTCCGATCTGAGCGACGCTGAGAAAACAGAACTCGGAGGTCTACGATTGGGCAAATCCGCGGCAGCGCTGGTCAAGTACGACAATCCGAGTCTGCTACATGTCTGATTTAACTGTAACACGATGTCTGATTTTTCTGTAACACATGTCTGATTTATCTGTTTTAACTGTAACACATGTCTGATTTGACTGCCACTCCCGGGCCATTGAGTCAACACCCTCTAACCCCCACATGCGCACCACAGACTGTCACTACCCTGTGGCAAAGTTCGTGTGTTTGGTTTTAGGGGTTTAAGTACCCAGTGGCATAGCTCGTGGGCTTGGTTTTAGAGTTTTATGCCCCTGCCCCGTGTCAAAGCGCGTGTGTTTGGGTGTAGCGCTCAGATGACTGCGAGTACATCGCATTCACATGCGCTGGATTTAGGGTTCTTAGGGTTTACTGTTTTACGGTTTTTTTGTTTTAGACTCTGTCAGTACAGCATCAACTTGCGCCTCCACTGAGTATATTCTCTTATACACGTATCACACGTGTCTGTGACACACAGTATGGATCATACACTTGGCTATGAGTAGAATGTATCATACGTTGCCTGTAAGCATATTCTATCCTAACATGTGCGCGTGCTTGTGTCCTGTGCGTAGGCCTGGGCATGTGACGAGTGCGCCTGCGTCGCCTATGCCTCGTCGATCGATCATTGACCGCGGACTGACACTGTTCGACAGCAACAGACGCCCCGACCTAGTGCTGTAAGTGGTGTGCAATGTGGTCATGTGCGCATGAGAGAGTGTGTATGATGTACGTAGTAGGGATTTAGTCGTATGTGTGTCTATGTGTGTATGCTACTAGTGGTGTAGAATGCAAGCATAC